TCTCTCTCTCTCTCTCTCTCTCTCTCTCTCTCTCTCTCTCTCTCTCTCTCTCTCTCTCTCTCTCTCTCTCTCTCCCTGTCTCTCTCTCTCTCTCTATCTCTCTCTCTCTCACTTTCGTTCCTCTATTTCGTCCTTTGGCCTTCTTTCCTCTACCTCTCCCATAATCTATATTTCGTCCTTTGGCCTTCTTTCCTCTACCTCTCCCATAATCTAAGTTTAAACCTTTTCCCCTTCCACTTGGCATACAACTAACCCCTCCCCTCTCACTTGTTACATTTCCAAGGGACGAACGGTGAAAGGAAGTTAACCTCACTTGGTGGAGAAAGAGGGCAAGGGAAGGACTGTCGGTCCCTTGTGCCACCGAGAAGGAAAAGGAAGAGAATATTTGACAGTGGTGAGCGCAAAAACGCTAGGAAATTGGAAATCGGACTGGTCCAAAGGGGACTAGAGGAAGAGATTGTTGACTAAGAGAGAGGTCAGTTGACTCAACCAGAGGATGGATTGACTGGGCATGAAAAAAAGGGAATGAGAAGTAAGCCAAAAGCAAAGGAAGAAAGCATAGGCATGTGGGAAGGGCTATGTGTTGACCCCCGAATGGGGGATTGTATTGGCAATTGCATTTGTGTTTGATTGTGCAGGTGAGTAGCTTGGGATGACTTTAGCGAGATTGGGGCAGGGATGTGCCAACAAAAGGGAAGAGGAATGGATGAGCAAAAGGTTGTGGGCCTTAGTGTAAATCCTATCTGTGAATGGGGCCTTGGTGTATGAAGCTTTGAGTGTAGATCGGGCGGGGGACGAAGTCTCGATCGATTGAAATATGAAGTAGCCTTTGTATGCGGATGAAAGCCCTGAAAAGACCAAGGGGCGGACACCAATGACGATGAATGTAATGATCTGCACAGGGGAATGTGTGGAGGCGAAGGGGGAAGACGGCACCGCCGCGCCCCGATGATGCCACAAGACTGTTGCTTTAGGGAAAAGGTGTGTGGCCTAAGGATGACGCTTAGCCTACGCACAAAAGAAGAAAATTTTCTCACGGACCCCCCCTGGGACTGCTTGAGTATTGAAAGGAGCATTTGCCTGAGAACACAACCAAGAATCAGAAAACTTACGCTTGCGAAATGATCAGCTAGACTACCACCCGGCGTGAGGGTTGAGCTACATCCCCAATGTCAAAGCTTTTTCACTCGATGGCCCACCCCCATCCATCTCGAAGCACTAGGTGGGGGTGACCCGGTGACGAATGGCCCGTGCCCTGTGCATGAGCGAGGGCGGGCCGAGCCAACTGGGACCCGCAGTGGGGTCGACACAGGCTCGAAAGTCTAACGGGGTTTGGCCCTACACTATCCAATTGCAGAAAGAAATGAATGAACTTGAGAGGAGAGAGAAGGTTAGAAGAAGAAGAAGTAAGAAAGAAGAAGAAGATGGTGTACACCAACATAAACAAATGACAAAGCTCTTCTTCTTCGCCAAACTCTCTCTTCCTCCTTATTTCCTCCTCTCTTATTCACACAAGAAATAATAATACAATGTTGAATGGCTGAACCGAAATCAATGTACGAATCCCTCTTCTACATCTATGGAGTGATTTTGAGCACTTCAAAAAGATATGATTATCCACCATTAGTGCGTAATGTGGGATGGTTGGGTTTAATGAGTGTTTTGATGACAATTCTATTGCTGATCAATAATCCTTTCCTGTTTTATTTCAACATCTATTTTGGTTCTTTGGTCGGGATGGCCACCTTAGAGAGTGATCTCTAAAGAAAAACGTTGCCACCATAGCCATGGCCGCCTCCCTCACTCTTCACTCTCATAGGCTGAGGCTATGGTACTACTTGGGCCATGCCCTGTTGTACAAAGGACAACACAAAGCAGCTATGACTGCTCTAGCTCAGGCCGCCATGCCTAACTCTGCCTCGAAGCTTCTTGGTGTAGCTCTCCCCAGCTGGGGTCTCCCTGCAGCAGCGCCCACCAAGGTGATGAAGATGGCCGCCACCATAGCCAGGTAAGTACCTCTGGCGCTCCTCCCCCTTATTGTCCTTCTTCCTTCTCCAAGTCCTTGATTCTTCCCCAGCAACGCTGCTCCAGGCTAGCGCTGCTCCAGCCAACGATCCAACCAGTGTGTTGCCAAACTTGCACACTGACAATGAGGCTGGGCTCTTCGCCCGACCTGGAGATATAGCGGCCTGCTTGCCTCTTGGGCAGTGACTCCCAGGCCGCTTGGCCTTCCAAGCAACCGGTACCTCCTCCCTTTCGGGAAGAAACATCATTGCAGGCTCTGATATTGCCCGCCTAGACCTAACCTACAACGATTGGGCCTCTAAAAATGTCATTTTTGTCTTCTTCTGCTCGGCCTCCAGTACCTGACACATCTAATGCTTCAGGGTGTGGTACCGGCCTACCTGCTACTTGAGTGTTTCAGTCCATGTTTGGTCGGGTCATCACATTAAGTGCAAGTTCGTTGTTGATTATGAGTTGACGAGTTTGGTTTGCCATCAGTTCTCATGTCTGCATATTGTGAGCAAGTCTGAAGTCGAGTCTGATTGCATTGGTATTGGAGCTGGTAACCCGTTGTCCACGCCGACGGAGCTGCAGCAGAGAGTTGGAAGAAGGAAGGAGCCGCCATAGCGGGAGCTCGATATATATATATATATATATATATATATATTCTGTTTGTGACGATATATATATATATGACGATATATATATATATATATATATATATATTTGTCCTCTTCTCTCTCTCTGCCTACGGTTTACCGCGCAGTTCTGTTTGTGACGATATATAGAACTGCCC